TTCCTTGTTTGTCTTTCCAATTACGTTTGATTTTTTCGCTCCGCTTACACTGACCACCACCGTACCAACCCGCGAGTCTGGTTTGGCCTATATGCTCAGACCAAGGGAACACACATTTATTCCTTATAGCACACATCTCTCCACTGTGGATGTGCTTCGGCTCGGGGTACCTACTTGTAATTTACCTCTCTGTGCCTTCGCGTTCACCAGGGCACTAGCCGTGGCTCGTTTGCTATATTTGTATTTATATTTCTCTATTTGTTTACTTCTCTATTTGCTTCAATTATTTTGTGTGTACACGCTTTCTTTCGTGGCCCATGCCATTGCAGGTTGGAGTCACCGCCACCGTCGTCGTCGTCGTCGTCGTCGTCATCTATCCGTGGAATCATAGAGCAGGGAAGATGCAGCACTGCTATAACAAGACGAGCAAAGTCGTCTTCCCCTTTCTTTCCTGGGATTATCGACTTTGAAATGCTATTGCACTTTATTCTGTCGAGGATTTTTTTTGCTGCTTCTATTTCGAGCACTGACTGCTGTCACACCACGGAACAGATCGTAGTAGTTCCCTGTTGATAATAGGGGCATTGAGTGGGAAAACTCTTCAAATTTCGGATCCTTTAGCATAAACGAGCAGGAAGTTAGCATTAATCATTTCGTGTTACAATATCCGATATTGCTGACAATGGATGTAAATAAATCTGGTCGGATTGCCGGACTAATGATCCGGTATATGTACGCATTCTTTCCTTCTCTGAACTACATACAGAAAGTGCGTTTAACTTTCATCCATCCCAAAACACATCAGCGATTGGATGGGAGCTAGAACGAATCCCACAAGCGTTAAAAAGTAAAATGTAAAATAGCTGCCCTCCGCACCGTAAGATGGGATACCGTTCTAGTTGCTAGTTGACCATATTTGCTTGATTCGCATCGCACCGCATGTATTATAGCCGTCCGTCCGTTCGTTCGTCGTCGTTAGTCCGGGTGCAACGGCAGCATCAGCAGCGAGAAAAAGAGCTACCTCAACAATGTACCGGGCGCGTTTGGTTCGGTTCCCCAGTTTGTCGCCTTGGAACAAGATCAGGCAGGCACGGGGGCCTTGAATCGCCATCCGATGACGACGACGGCGACGATCTTTGCTCTTGTTCTTCCTGCCGTCACAGACCGAAATCTTACTGCGGCGGCTTCGTCGTTCTCGGTGGCTCTCGCTCTCAGAAAAGGAAGACGATGCGATGCGGTTGAATTTGCCGCATACCAGAAAGCTGTATATTTATGACCAAACTGGAGGAAAGGACACAACACGCGGGCGAACGAACAAACCACTGGCACTGCTTTCTGCTGCCACGAGAAAGAATGGTGTCGTAGTGGAATTTTCCTTTTTCGTAGCTCACATCTTCGCAATCAGGCTCTCGCTATCCCCTAAGCGACAAAATTCAACCAAAGTAGCTTCCAAAGCAAGTACGATGAACAGCAGCAGCTGAACAACATGAAGATTTCGAATTCATTCAGCACACAGAGGCACGACTTTTTGATTCAACTCGTGCGACATTCAACACCAATTGCGTCGAGAGATGATACTGTGGCTCTGGCTACTGCTGCCTAGACTACTAGCATTTCTCCTTTGCACAGCATCGACTCCCCAGATATTATGCACTGGATAAATTAGATTCTAGCATTCGTAACGACGTGTTACGTTTTCCCTCATTTTGTTTTCCGTCTTCTTTCGTAATCTGTTTGCTCTTATCATTTTCGGGGCTGCATTGTGGTGAACGTGTAGGATATTCTCTTCGTAGCCAAACCTACATTATGCAGTCACAAAACACACCACACCACTGCCAGTGCTGCAGTTTTTGGTCCTAGAGCCTGAATCATATTTAAAGTAAATTGTCATGGTTTTTTACGAAGATATATGGCAAAATATATGATCTAGCCTTGTATCGAAATAAATTTAGTAATGATTAAAAAGCAGATAGGTCCACTAGGGCCAAAAACTGGCACACTTATCCTACATGATCATAGCAAAACAGCCAAATTTACTACACCTGTTTTGATTTAAATCAAAATGCGAAAAACGTTTGAGTGGTTTTCATGAGTTTTAAGCTGGAATGATTTTTTGGCGTTGTGAGTGTGAGTGCCTGAAAATGCATGAGAATCTCAAGCATGAGTTATGTTTGCAGATTCCTTCACGAATTTATTATACAGTGAGGCGCATTGAGTAAGATTTGAGAATGATTTTCCGACCACTTATCCTGACACTATAAAAAGTATCAACAAGAGTGTTCAGTTGTGTATGCTTATCTGATAATGGCGAGAATAGTTCATAATTGGTTCACTAGGTGACTCTAGCAAGCAAAAAATATGGATTATCCTATTCCCATGGCTCTGGTCATACACATTGCGACAAGGAGACTTAAGACATCCCTAAGAATAGATGATATGTTTGCTTCAGTCAATAATTTTCACAACTTTTTTCTTACTATCAGGATAGTTGTAGTGGTGACAAGTGATTATTAAGCAACATTTAGTGATAGTAATGGTTTTGACAGTTGGCCAGCGTAAACATAGTTGCACATAGTTTAAGACACCTGAGCGTTTCGTGTAAAATTTAAGTTTATAATATCAATAATCGTTAGTTATGGAACTATGCCGGCTGGAAAGAATCTAAGGTGCTGTTATGTAGTACGAGAAAACAAATATGAGTATGGAGCGACCCCGGCGTAGTGGTTAAAATCCATACCTCTCATACCAAAGTCACGAGATCAAATCTCACCCCCGGACAAGTCACGAATGACCCAAGAGTAACACTATAATAACCCAAGTGACTAAAATAATTGAAAAAAAATGAGTATCAGCAAGATTTCGAAGATGATCAAGATGTCTCGTGCGGATCTTTATTTTTTTAAACACACTGAAAATTAAGACAAAAATTATCCAAAAGCCATCCATGAAAATCTGATAAGACATTACCAAGGAAGGATTGCCAAAGCTGCATCATATTCAACGAAATCTCACAAGCAAACTAAATAAGAGCTAGATCTGAACGTATCTCGGGAAGCAATACGGCTGATTTTGACAGAAGCTCCAAGCGCTTGTCTATTTACAATAATCTGGGCTCCGTATTAGATTCCCGAACACTAAACAGTAAGGTAAACATTGGTAAGAGACACCATTGATAAATACTGGATCATGACAAACTTTACGATTGAAAATATTTGTACTAGTTAACTTTCAATGATAATAAATATTTTAATATTAATGGAAACCATCTTAGAATTGGTTATAATTTTTATTGACATAATCTATGGATACTTCTAGCAGGAGCTTTAGGTTTCATTAATGTAAATAATCTTCAAAAAGTTGATTACCATTATATACCTCAGAGTATAGTCAGTCATAAACAAAAACAAAGATCCTATTATTTGAGTCTTGTAGTCTTGGATGTAAATGGCGGATAATTAAGTTTAAAAATAGCTGACTGGATAGCGCCATTGAGCAAAAGTATTGTACTGTTTTATATGCCATTATTAAAAAAAAAAAGTTTAGGGCTCGACAAAACTAATATCCCTCTGATGGCAGTAAATTAGCTCACAAGGTTACCTTAAATAGCAAAAATATTGCTTTATACCATATCTACACACTTAGAAATAACTAATTTTACACGTGACGGAATCAATCGTTGACATAAAAGATGAGACGTAAACAAACATGTCATGTAATATTAAGTGCTCCGAGACTGAAAAGTTCATTGCTCGTTGAAGAGTACGATTGATTGAGCTTTATTTCGCATCTGTTATGACTCAAATTTATGTCAAATGTGACGCTCGTATATGTCACTCTCAGAGCACCTAAATTTACATAATTTTTTTCTAAGTGTTTAAAGATTATTTTCGTTTCCCACCTTCACTAATGTTCTTGAAATTCTGTTCATATCGACTTCTGAGAAGACATGGACGATAGAGTTCAGTATTTAAGATACAGTTGTAAGGCCATAAAGAATAGATTGATGAAGACCTGCACGTTTGAGGTATTAAACAGCGCGTAGAAACCAAAATTTGGATTTATATATTTCGTAAACTCCTAAAGGCCTAACCCTTCTCATGCACTTGTGTCGATCTTGGTATCGCTGTCTGACGCTATCGAGCTGCCAAGATATTGGATACTTCTCTCTATTTTGCGAATCGTGTGACTCTCCATTTGATTTGAACAAAGAAGTACCTCACACGATCACCTCACTAGTGATAGAGACTCGCACGACTCACATATTAGGGGGAACTGTTACTGCTTTTCCAGGCACCAAGAAGTAGTGAGCATTGTCCGTGTTGACAACCAAAGATTTCGTATAACTATTGAAAGTCTTACCTCACTAGCATTGCTGTTATTACACTTTTAATATGTCTACAATAACCAATTATTGTAATCCTTCAATATACAGTTATTGTTGAAGCTTTCTTTTCTATAATCATTTTAACACATCGAAGGTCATTCGTAACTTGTCCGGAATGAGATTTAAACTCTTACCTTCAGCGTGAGAAGCATGGAAGTTAACCACTACGTCGGTCCCGTTCCCTGTTGAACATTATTCTACAAGTTTTCAGCAAAGCTTACGGACCAATCAACATCTACTATTACATGCTCCTTGTTAGAATCGTCTCAAACCTTTCATATTAATGTAAATGTTGGTGTCAATTGTAAAAAGGTTACACCTCCGAGGCCATTGAACCCCAAACAGTACCTACCATTTATGTCGATTAGCGATGGAATCATCGTTCTAGCCGAGTCATAACTCAAAATTTCCATCCAGTGACTTCAATGGCCAGCCAACAACAGCAAGCGACGAACCGCCTTCTACGAGTGCAGAAAAACTCACCACCGACCATATGTCATTTCATTCACGTCACTTGGACGATAATGATTTATGATTGATCAATAAAGTTTGCTAATTTTCTCTTCTTTTTCCATTTAATTTTGCAGATATTTTAGCTGATTAGTGTTTTTGTTGCTGCCCCTCTCGTACGGGCCCTGTGTACCGAGAGCGCAACATCTTCCCTCCTAGCGCCATCGCGCTCCAATCATTGCCGCCAGCAACAGGTCATCTCTACTCGCGGCTGGTCCGGGAGAGAAAATCGGCCGCGGACGGTGGTGGTGGTCACAAGAAAAAGTTGCCTGCGTGTGCTTGAACCCAACTCACCCGGGCGAAAGAGGCAAAAAAATTTGGTTACCTCCATCGGAATAGACATCATCCTCCAGATTGAAGGCGCATGTGTGAGTGTATGTGTGAATCTGGCACAGCGAAATAGCGCAATTCAGATCTAGCTCGGTAGATCTAATAAGTCGAAAAATTAAGCATTGTTAGTGGAAAACATACTTGTGGATAAATTGTGTCTAATTTGGTGCAGAATTTCGAGTGAGAATAGCGCATTCAAGTGCCAAGCCAGAATCTGATATCCATAGATACCACAAACGGATACGGAATGTGAGCAGTGACTAGCAGCAGCAGCAGCGGTGTAAAACGTGTAGAAACGAAGTGTAAGGGAAAAGTGAAAAAATCTGACTATTTTTCAAGAAGAAATCCGAGAAAACTGAACCAACAACAGCAACAGCGAACAAGATTGAAAAGACGAAAACGAAGAACCGGAGCGTAATGAATAGAGTAGAATGGGATGGAAATGTGGGCACCCGGGAGTGTTCACAGAGGGAGGGCAACCGGTCGGTGGGGTCTCTAGCGGGCGAGGAATTTGGCTAGAAGGAATTGTGTAAGAAGAGGATTGAAAGCAAAACAGAGACTCTCTTACCGGGGAAGTGAGTGTGATGTGCTGCGGGTCTATGGGTGTAGTTGTGCTGGAACAGGGTCCATTGCGGCCATATTAAATACCTTTCGGCAAGTGTTGCTGGATCGGTGGGACTTTCCGATCAAAACCCATGAAAAGAAAATGGAAAAATTCTCAACTAAAACAAAACGTTAGTTCAAGGAATGATCAATCAAATTGTGAAAACAATTGATTTAATTTTACAGCAACAATTTTCGCACGCCATGTCGTACGTGCCTTGCAGTGCAGCCACGATCTCACTCATCAAAAAAAAAAACTACACGGAACACAACTCACATGTTGACCACCAGAAAGGCAGCATAGCGAGAGCACATGCGAGTGTTAATTTATCAAATTAGTGTTGGTAGAGCAGCTCCTCTTGAGCAGTGTCGTTGTCGCTGTTGTTGTTCAACTCCTGAATAATTAAACAGCCGACGACGGAGTTGCTCACACATGCACAAAACGTAGAGTTGGGGAACAACGGTGGGAACGAAGGATGGTGGTTAGGGATGGGAGGATGGAAAATCTCTTCAGAGTGGAAAGCTGAGAGCCAGCGCAACAGCAGTGGGCAAAAAGTGGGCAATCGTAGGGTCGATTGGGACCTGGGATGGATGGAACAAGTCGTCGTCGTGAGCTGCGATGAGCGACCGTGCTCCAGCGAGAGAGAAAGAGAGAGTGAGAAGTAGTATAATATGCATCATAAAACCGGGTCCATCACCAGGCGAGGGCTCGTATCGTCGCACGGGTTGTATAGGGCGGGGCGCAAGGGGAAGGAGACATTAGTGCGGGGATATGTTTGAAAGTAGGGAAGACGGGGGATGCTGGATCGTATTTTATATATTAAAAATATGATGATGCAGTAAATACCTGTATTGCTTAATATAGAATTGTTGGCACGAAATGTTGTTGGCCCACAAGGCAATTGAATTATAGTCCAAAAAGTGGGAGAAACAGTGCTCGATTTTCTTTTAGGATCTAGTAGAGCAAATTAGTATGAGTTCAAATCTCATCCCCGGCCAAGTCACGAAGATCTAAAAAGTGTTTGGTGAATAAACTAGTAGTAGCCATTGTGCTGAAAAACTCGCTAATAAAGCAATAACAAATATTTCTCTGAAGTGTCTATAAGGACATTTATCAAAATTAATTGCAGCCAAAGATTAAGAATCGTGCGGGTTAGTATTTCAACCTGTTGGTACTGGAAAAAAAAAAAATTCAAATTTAATTAGAATATCATTTTACATTTAGATTTTAATTGGGGTTTTACAATCTAAAATATCAATTTATGACATAACTACACACTAAGATTAGTTTACCGAAATCTGTGAAATTTTACCGAAATCTCAATAGCTGAACGTTCTGTAAACAGTTCGGTTATATTTCACAGTTTTCCTGTAATTTTTAACAGATATTCGGTGAACAAATACAGGAAATCTGTGAAAATCACCGAACTGTTTACCGAACGTTCAGCTGTTGAGATTTCGGTAAAATTTCACAGATTTCGGTGAAATAATCTTAGTGTATACACAGCAAAAAATAATATTACATCCAAGAGACAATCTCATCTAATTTTTATGGCCACAAAAATAAACAAATGCAGTAAAAGCAGCGTAATGTCAGTTCACGCACTGTATTAATGATAATTTTGTCCTTTTTGGCAAGTAATATTACACCATTTTTTGCTGTGTAAATATACTACTTTAGAAATCAGAGATGGCTGGTAATGTACTGAATATTACAGGTAATGTAAACATTCATGCGTGTAAACTTAAATTTATTTTCACCCAAACTAGCAACTTGCAAGAAATGTTGCATACAAGATTTGAAATATTCCATGAATAAACTCATAACTTTACTTGATCTTTAATGTAATCTTATATGATATGTAACGCTCCTTTTATGTCCATCATATTGAACAGAAATTTGCAATATTTTTTTCAAACTATGCTTTACTATCATCTAAAAAGAATTGGAACAAAACTGGAGACCAAAATAACTGATAAAGTCGTAAGGTCAAAAACAGGAAGGCACTGCATTATTTTTTTTAAATATTTATGTAACTTTTGTTTAATGTTGCTTATATTTGTATAATGCCTTTGGTGGGTAACAAGGTTTACCATCAAGCAATTTATTCAAAGCTGGATTGGAATAAATTTCGGGATCGCGAACTTCTGGTGATGAACTTCAATATCTGAGTGAAATGTTCTGATTTTCGGCCAACATTCAGGATAACTATAATAGAAATGGTATTAACAGTTTCCAAGATTGAGATCACGAGTTTTCACACATGGAGGATGTAGGTCGGTAGCAATTGATTGATGAGCATTTTAGTAGAATAATGATATACCTTATTACGTAGTAAACGAAATACGTATCTGTTATATTTTTTTAAAAGTGATATTGAAAGTAAATAGTGTATTAGTGAAAGTGAAAGTTATACAATAATAGTAGAATTAACGCTATAATACACATTAAACACCGTGTACATATGAAGTCTGTTCCATTTAGCATTTGGCCGCACAAATTAGGTCCAAGGTGAAATAAAGTACAAGGGAAAAATACAACCAAAATTATTCCTCGGCTTTTCGGATGAATTTTCGAACTTTTCGTGGAATACCTCTCATCATGTCTTGCACAGTAGTACTGTCAACTTCATCTACCATCCGTTTCCACCGCTTCTCCAAATCAGATGGTGTTTTGATTGTTTTGCCACATTTCTTCAATTTGCGCCCAATTTGATAATTGCCCAAACATTTTCAATGGGAGGAAAATCTGGACAATTTGGTGGACTGATACTTTTCTTAATAAAATCGACATTATTCTGCTTATACCATTCTATGACATCGCGGCTGTAATGACAGCTGCCTAAGTCAGGCCAGAACTTTACGGGACCTTCGTGTGATTGAATGAACGGCAAAATTATGTTCTGGAGATACTCCTCCTTGTAAAGTTGTCCATTCATAGTCGCTCCAGTGATGAAAACCTTTGTTTTCTTTCCGCAACTGCAGATGCCTTGCCAAATCATCAACTTGCGAGCGAATTTATCTGCAAAGACATATTTGAATTTATCCGGAGCATCCCCCTTACAATTAGCAAAGTAAAATGGTTGGCCCGGGATTTGTCCAAAGACCATTTTTACGTAAGTTTAATCGTCCATCAAAATGTGAGTGTGCAAAATTTTTTCACGTCTGTCACGTTCCATATTCGATAACTTTTCAACAGGTATATTAATTCACTACTAAATAAACATTCCTTCCGGATCAAAACGCTATTAATAGTTTCTTGCTACGACCACTAGAGGCGCTACAGACTTTACTACCATTATCAAATCGGTAATTACACTAAACACAAGCTGCCCGAATAAAAAACAAGATATTTTCGCATCCAGCGCGAATTTTACCTGGAAAATAAAACACGTTCACTCAAGCATATTCTCTCGTGGTGAGATGGTTTTCAAAATATCCCGTAAATCGTTTTCTCCAGGATCACCAACGAATGATTCCGGAACACCTTAATCGTAGCCAAGCTTTTTAAAATTATTTCACACTCGGGAACAAACCGTCCACTAGCAGAGCCTTCTGCACTCTCTTCTGGAAATAGGCCGTTAGTGTGGAAATTATAACTTCATTTGCTTAATTTAATTATTATATTGGCGAATTTAGTTTGATAGAATCTGCATCACTTTATTTCACAAAACACTGTTTCAACCCATATCACTGCTATTGGCTCTACAATTTAGCAAATAGTACGGTTTGTAAGTTATTCGGAACTGAATTCATCAAAATTAAACCTTATTCTATATCAAACTTAAGGCAGAATGTTTCTATGACTGATATGTATGCATTTTACTTGGGAGACAAAATAAACTGACAACAAAGGCGCTTACTACATTCTGAAGCAGATAATTAAGCATCCAAGGATCTATTGGTGATTTTCCGTGTCAGCCATACATCAATATTTTAATAACTGCTTCTAAAATGTCATAGCAAGGATTTGTTTCTGGCATGTTTTGAATCTGCAAAAAAAAAACAATGATAGATAGTATTCGTTTCACGATAGACAAAACCGACAGTTGTGGCTGAGAATATTCCCGGGAAAATTTGCATTCGCTTGGGAAACCGAAACTACCGATCATTTATACGCGGCAACCAACGCAGAGAGCAACCAAGCAACCGAGGAAGCCTCCTTGTTCCGATGCATTCCTCATCGTCGACGACTTGAGTGGACTCCGGTGCAAAGACTTGTTGTTACTTAGCCCCGAGCGGTACTGGTTGCGCTATTGAGAAATTACATGCTGCCTTTTTTTCCTCGGTGCGCTCTGGCCTTTTGAGCAAAATCTTCTTCCCCATGGCTGCCTTTGGTTGGTTGCTGCACTGTGCCTCCTTTTGCACGTTTCGATGCACCCCGTCAGCAAAGATTACGTTCTAGATCACGCTATTAGTCGATCATTTTTCGTGCATTTCGTCAACCTCCTTCGGTCGGACGACGATCATTTTTCAAACATCAGCGCAGCAGAATGGAAGAGGAAATTCTTGAAAAATGTTTTCCCTTGAGTAATTTTGGGAGACGACGACAACCAGCAAGAATTTTATGCAACAAATGTGTTGTATGTAACCTCCCTGTCTCAGTTGGAGCGGACGACGACCATCGTCCGTCTCGTTGTTGGTGGTGGTAGTGGTGTTATAGTAGTAGGCTGTGTGTGAATGTGCTGATTTTATGCTGTGGCACCTCCGCAGGGCTCAGCATGCTTTTGTATTGGATACCTCCATGCTCACTAGATTGAACCGCTGTGTACGGGGTAGGTTATACGAGCTGAGCGTGTTTGAGTGTGCTCTTGGCCATCTCAAGAAAGTTCATTCCTTTTTAGCCAAGTTCTCTCAGCTTGTTACGTGTGTGTTATTGTTGTTGTTGGTTCTTTTTTTTTTCTCGGACAAACTTCCTTTTCTGTGGTACTGTTGTATGTGCAGATATACTTTTAATAATTTACAACAACAAATTTGAAGAGAAAAATTTTGTGTTTCAGGATTGCTCCGCGCTCAGGTGTGTGTATTCGGTGTTGCTGGAATAGTGCAGAGCAGAGCAGTAAACGAGTGGAAAAGTGGAAAAAAATGATGTTGAAAACTTGAAGTTTTTAAATTTTCAAGAAGAGAGAAAAAGAGAACAACCGAGTAGCAAGAGTGGCACAGTGCGCGGTGTCAAGAAAGGTTCAAGATAAAGTGCACAAGAGTTAGAGAAAAGACAACGAAGAAGAGTTAGAAATCGTCCGACAGCGAGAAGCACCGAGAAGACCAGTGTGCGTAGTTTGTATTCGGGTTGTACGGCTATAATGATTTTTAATTTTTAAAATGAGCTCCGTTGTTGGCTGAAGACATGAAATCGGAATAAAATTAATCATCACAATTAGCGTTAAATAGTGTAGTGGTGGATGCTGTGGGCATTGCCGAAAAGTGAGACGTCAAGCCACGTGCAGCATCCAGGAGAGTTTGTTCAAGATATGCGACAAGTGTCAACTGTTTGTGATGGATCGTGAAGTGAGTGCTCGCGGTAGCCGAAAACAATCACCTCACTTCCATGGAGCTCCAGCAGTATTATGACGCACCGTTTAAGTGGAGCCAAGAATTTAGGTGCAGCAAATAGTGAAACAAAAGTGCGCTAGGAAGGAAGCAGGTCTGATTCGACACAAAAGCCAGATAAAATGCGGTGTGCCAGTTTGAAAATTGCCTTTTGGCTGCTAGTCATACTAGAATTGTACGCCGCGATAGAATGCGTAGGTGCACACGGGCCTGGGCCTGGTCCGGGCCCCGGTGTAGTGATAGGAGCCCGACGAAGATCGTCCAATGATGGTGCAATGCAATCTCGTGCCGTTGATACCAGAGTTCAATTTGAAGTGTTTGAGAATGAACCTCGTCTAACGGTTGTGGGGTACATTCCAACAAAGCCAGGATTCACCTATCGCTTCAATGAACCACCACGGGAATTTGTTCTCGATGCAAACACCGGTGAAATCAAAACAAACATTATTCTCGATCGAGAAGTCACGAAAAACGATCGTTACGATCTGGTGGTATTATCCAGTCAACCAACGTACCCGATCGAAGTCCGCATCTCAATAGTAGATGTCAACGACAATGCTCCGGAGTTTCCGGAACCTAGCATAGCAGTGACATTTTCGGAAAGTGCCATTTCCGGTACCAGGCTGTTACTGGATGCCGCTACCGACAAGGACATAGGCGAAAATGGAGTCACTGATGACTACCGGATCGTAGACGGAAACCACGATGAAAAGTTCCGTCTGGCAGTTACCACCAATCCCAGCGGAGACGTGTATTATCTGCATCTGGAAACAACCGGAAAACTCGACCGGGAAACAATGGGCTCTTATATGCTCAACATATCCGCTAAAGACGGAGGAACTCCTCCAAAATTTGGTTACCTGCAGGTCAACGTAACGATCTTGGATGTGAATGACAATCCTCCAATCTTCGATCACAGTGATTACATTGTTTCGTTGAATGAAAGCGTTCTACCAGGGACTCCAGTTCTGCAGGTAATGGCCTCAGACAACGATCTGGGAGACAACAGTAAGATAACTTATTACCTTTCGGATACGGAAACGCAATTCACAGTAGACCCTGAGACCGGAGTCATTTCAACTACAGAACAACTTACATGTCCCCATCAAAATTGTCAATCATTATCCCGACCCGATGGAACATGTCCAAAAAGTTGCGTATTTACGGTGTTTGCTCGCGATCACGGATCACCACGACAGGACGGTAGAACGTACGTGACAGTTAACCTCGTGGATACCAATGACCATGATCCGGTAATTCGGTTTCAATATTTCCCACCCACGGGGAGCTATGCAACGGTTGATGAAAATGCCGCCAACAGCTCCGTTGTAGCAGCTGTATCCGTTGTTGATATGGATGAGGGCCTCAATGGTGACACCAGCTTGAGGATTATTGCCGGAAATGATCTTCACCATTTTAGACTGGAAAAGTCTCCCAGTTTCTACATCGTGCGTGTTAATGGCGTGCTCGATCGTGAAGAAATTGGAAAGTACAATCTAACCGTAGTGGCAACTGATCGCGGAACTCCTCCTCGAACGGCAACTGCCCATCTTATTATCCACGTGAACGACGTGAATGATCACGAACCAGTCTTTGAGAAGTCGGAATACTCGACTGTACTGAGTGAACTCGCCCCTTCAGGAACTTATGTTGCCAGTATCACTGCCACGGATGAAGACACGGGAGTAAATGCTCAAATTTTCTACGATTTTGTGTCGGGAAACAATAATCAATGGTTCAAAATTGATCCGTCGTCCGGTTTGATAACGACCCAAGCTCAACTGGATCGCGAAGTAAACGGAAACATTGAGCTAAGCATCTCCGCTCGAGACGGTGGCCCTAATCCAAAGTGGGCACATACCCAGCTCAAAGTGACAATATTAGACGAAAACGATGAAGCTCCTCAGTTTTCACAGCCCCGTTTGAACATAACCTTAAACGAGAATACCAAACCGAAAACAGTGGTAGCTATCTTAACAGCCGTTGATCACGATCAGGGAACAAATGGTAGCATAACCTATTCCATGCATCCAAGCGTAGAGAAAAACTATCCAGGCGTATTTCACCTGGATTCAATTTCTGGTCAGCTGACTACCAAGAGCAATCTTGATCGGGAAAAGGTTTCCAACTACAATATTCAAGTGATCGCACGCGATCAAGGTACCCCGCCGCAATCGTCCACGGCGACGGTGCAGCTGAAGATTGAAGACACCAACGATAATAATCCGGAATTTTATCCGAAGCAGTACTTTTTAGCCTTACCAGATGACACTGCTCCAGGGAGGTCTATTCTTCAAGTGAAGGCAACCGACCAAGACGAAGGAATCAACGCAATGGTGTCATATGAGATCGTTAGTGGAGGAGATGGACTGTTTGTGATCGACAGCAACAGTGGGCAAATTACTTTGAGGGGAAGCTTGAAGAAGTCGTCCAAGCCGTTGCACAAAATAGTAATTGCTGCAAAAGATAAAGGAGGAAGACGGGCTGAGAAGGATGCTGTGGTGGAGATCATGAAGGAATCGATCATGGAAGAAATTGAATTCGACACATTGAGTGGGTACGAGTTTCAGTTGGTGGAAGACAATGGCCTAGATGGAATGGGTAGTGAACGGGAGGTTGGACAGATCCGGACGAAATCGTCTCCATCAGTGAGAAATGTAGAATATTCTATTCTCCAAGGTGATCCGAGAGAGAGTTTCAAAATCAACGCGAGAACCGGTATGATCAGCAGTGCGAAGAACATTGATCGAGAGACGGCTGCATTTTATAGCATTACTGTGGCGGCCAGAAATGGATTGGCATTTGGACAGACAATTGTAAACGTTACGATAGTGGATCTGAATGACAACGCTCCAGTGTTTATGCATGATCACGACGAGGTTAGTTTGCCGGAGAATACAGCTGTCGGACAGGAAATCTATCTTTCAAAAGCGAAAGACGCCGACTCAGGAGCCAATAGTAGAATCGTCTATGGGTTAAGTTACAATCCACAAAATCTATTTAGGGTTTCCGAAACGACCGGAGTCGTCTATCTGAACCGACCGATACTCGTTGACCCGGGAACTGTATTGAATTTGGAAATAACGGCATCGGATAGTGGTGATCCTCAGTTATCAACGAAGAGTACTGTTACGGTAACAATTGAAGATGTAAACGATCACACTCCGGTGTTTGATCATACTTCCTACGAGACTTCCTTGCTGGAATCGATGCCTGTGAATTCGAGATTCTTCGCCTTGGCCGCTTCCGATGCTGATACCGGAATAAATCAACGGATCACATATGCGATCATTGAAGGCAATGTGGATGAGAAATTTGGGATTTTTCCTGATGGATTTTTGTACGTGAAAAGTGCACTGGATCGTGAGGAACGAGATTATTACTCGTTGACGATTACGTGCACGGATGAGGGTGACCCTTCGCGCAGTTCCTCTGTTCCGGTGATTGTTCATGTGATCGATGAAAACGATAACCCACCGCAGTTTACCAATAGCACGTTTATTTTTAGCGTGGCCGAAAATGAACCAGCTGACACGTTTGTAGGGAAGCTGACTGCGGTTGATCGTGACATTGGCCGGAATGCTGAGCTGATCTATATGCTGTCGAGCAAGCAGGAAGATTTCACAATCGACTCGCGGAACGGATTTATAAAAACGTTGCACGAATTCGACCGAGAAGCGCTGGTGCAGACAACCGGACAAAATTTTATCATGCTGGAGGCGACCGTGTCCGATAATGGATTGACCCGTCTGCGGGATAAAGTTAAGATAAAAGTTTTTATAACCGACGTGAATGATAATGCACCGCAATTCGTGCGGGCCCCTTATAAGGTTCAGATCTCGGAAGGATCATCGATCGGAACCCAACTGATTCGGGTGTACACGAACGACGCCGATGAGGGTCTTAATGGGGATGTGTTTTATTACATTGCCGAGGGGAACAGCGATGAGCGATTCGTAATTGATGATGCTACCGGTCAGATAACGCTCGCCAAAGCCCTCGATCGTGAAACGGTGTCAATGTATAAATTAACGATCGTTGCCCATGATGCATCGATGCAGAATCGATTAAGCACCAGCACGACGGTAACAATTGAGGTATTGGACGAGAACGATGATGCACCGGAGTTCACCCAGACCCTCAGTCAAATCTCGATCAATGAAACCACACCGGTTGGGACGGAGTTGATCCGATTCCGGGCCACCGATATGGATCTTGGTGTTAATAGTCAGATTACATTTTCGATTGCCGCCGGCAATCGTCGGGACACGTTTCACATCGATCCAATCACGGGTTATTTGTACCTGCATAAATCGCTTGATTATGAGGACACTCAAAGCTACTCTCTGAACATAACGGCTTCGGATGGAGGCAACCCACGACTATCGACAACGATTCTGTTCATGGTGAACGTGATCGACTCGAATGATAATCCACCGAGCTTTCCAAACACGGCAATCGTAAGACAAATTCGTGAGGGAATTCCTGTCAAAACTCCGATCGTGACGGTAACCGCTGAAGACCCAGATTCCGGTCCGAATGGGAAAGTCACATACGAGATCTCCAACCAGGATCCAGAAAATCGTAATCGTCATTTTGGAATCAACCCGACGACAGGTGTTATTCACACACTGCATGCCATCGATCGGGAGGCGATCGACACGTACCGCCTAACGGTGATCGCGACCGATCAAGCTTTAGTTCCATCGCAACGTATGTCCGCGGAAAAATTAGTCACAGTCATAGTGGAAGACATCAACGATAATGCACCGGTGTTTGTTTCTATGAATGCTGCCATTCTGCCCATGAAAGACATTCGAGTCGGAGTTGATAATAGTCCGAATCCGGTCATGTACATCAACGCCCATGACGCTGATTCGAGCTCGAATGGACTAGTGACGTACGAGATGACGGGTGGAAATACAGATTTGTTCAAACTGCACCGATCGACTGGTGCCATTACGCTTCGAAAGTCCATATCGAAGCCAGAAATTCGCTATCAACTATCGGTCCGGGCAACCGACGAAGCCGTACAGAACGAGCGCAAGAGTAGTGACGCATATATCACGATCCTCACGACAATCCCAACGAACAATGGACCAGTGTTTGTGAAGAAGGACATGTTCGGTAGTGTGTCGGAAAATGAACCAATCGGAACGAGCATCCTGACTGTGTCGGCGTATTTGAATTCGGTCAGTGATATCGAGTACTATGTGACGAATGTAACCGGTGATGGTAAACAAGTGAACCGTTTATTTGATATTGATACGAAGCTGGGAATTCTGTCTACGGCTGCGGAATTGGATCGCGAGTCCGGTGTGGAAAGCTACGAGGTGGAGGTCTATGCCATCGCACTCGGAGGAATGCCCCGAACTACCAGTACCAAGGTGAGTACTTTTGATTTATGATATCTTTAACTTTGACCCACAACGAAGCATACGACGAACACAGTCTCCACATATCGACCTCACTGTTCGGTGGTCAACATAAAACGGTACCTCTCATCGGATGCAGGTAGGGGTCCCTGATTATCTAAGAAGAGCTATTTCCTCTCGAGCGATTATCTAAAATTCCTTCAAATTTTCAATTTTTCATATTCTCTGCGCGCCACGAGCTCTTTTGCCTTATTTGTGGCACAGGGGAACATCGTATAGAAAAAAATACTTCACCACCAGATACAGCACAGAGACAGCAAGCGGGAGACGCGCAGGGGAACCATTCCACATTAAACGCAAAAATCCGCGCTGGTCCATCTCGTTTTGTGTTTTGCCTCTCTAGTCTTTTTTTTCTTGCTGCTGCTTTCGAAGCTAACTGTTTGACCGGAAAATAATTACAAACTATTACTCTTAAACATTCATTGTACGAAATTTGATTCTCACCCTGCCGGGCATACATAGGCGGGTAGGTAGGAAGGTAGGCAAATAGCAGCAACAAGAGCCAAATCACACACGCGCTCCTCACAACCATATACAATATCCTTCATATTCATATGCGCCTTCTTGTGGCTCTTCTGTGATGGGACCTGAATAGACTGGTCCGGAAATAAAGTATTATTCCGATTCAAATCCATGTTTGAATATTTTTCGGACTTACAACATAGGGATATGCGGTCTAGGACAGACATTTACGGATTTTTACGATTTGTTTTGGGTTTGATCTCTCAATTGAATATAATATTTTCTGCTTTTGATTGTTATTTCCAGGAATATTAAAATTCTGTCTCATTTCGTTTATATACCGACAGTTGTATTTAATAACACGATGCTTCCGGTAAAATGTGTACCGGAAAATTTGCAATGTTTGAAAAATCATAACTCAGCCATTTATTACGGATTTCAAATCTTTTGACGTCATTTGAAACTAAATAGCTTTAAAATCCATCGATAAATTACTGAACAATGATTTTTCAAACATTGCCAATTGGTAGTTAAACATTTTACTGGAGACATCCGGAGTGCTTATGCACAAAAATCGTTTGTACGTGTGTTTAAAAGATTTTATTTAATATAAAGTAGTATATTGTAATATACTGTTCCCTGCAAAATGAATCATCATGAATCAGTTATGGCTATATGTTTCTATTATGGTGTGTTCCAATTATGGCTTATGAGAATTCCATAGGCCATAATTTGAACACACCATAATAGGAACCTATAGCCATAACTAGTACAGCTACCCTATAAGCTATGTTTGTAGAGGTTTCAGGAATTTACTGTACCCGTTCGATTTTCGAACTGTTCGATGTTTGTTGCAAAACCACAAAACCGTTCGTTTTTGGCACGGGAATTTTGAAAATATTGCATTTTTTGCTCCTTGTGATTTTTTTTTTTTTTTTAAGTATTATTATAAATAACGTCTATGTCATAAAGGAAGACATCACTTTGATGTATTTGATGTCTGTTAAACTTATTTTCTTTTTCATTCAAATGCTCGAGAGCTATATACAAATCCATCGTTCCTACCACCGAAGCTAATCGAAACACCGCTTCGTATTTAAAACAATTTGCTTTAAAAGCTCAATCAACCCTTAAACGCCCAGCAAATGAACTGCGCAGTTATACGAGCCCCCATTCTAAACCTCATCCTGAAGATCCATGAAGATATGAAAGGGGAGAACAGTTTATAATACACCCCTGGGGTAAAATGGTCCACCCCGTTTTTCGCCGTTTTCCCATTAGTGTATATTTTAATTTAATTATTATATTTGTTAAAGTGATTTTCATTCCCGATAGTAATTCTGGGATTGTATGTGCCGAAACACTAGTTCCAATTTTGATCTAGGTTTTCCTTTATTATCGAGACTTTCTGCGTAAGCATTTGAAAAAGTAAATAATTCGGTTCGATAAATTCTACCCTACACATAATACAGGAAACAATAGTTTCTCAGTGTTTCAGTCGAAATGCATTAACTTGTACATTGTAAATACTTGGACTATCTCCTGAAATACATAACTTTCTCAATTTTGTCAGCCCCTCAGTGCATAATACTTTCTTCATCAACCAATTTCACATAACCTTGATTCCAAATGCATATTATCAATTACTCAGTTTTACCTACCTTAATCCATGAAGTTTTTCCATTTTTCCCGGTTGTGCTAAATACATTTAATTTAAGCATAAAACCGAATGGAATTGAACCGAGAAGATCTCTCCCAAGTAACAATTTTGGTTTTATGAGGGTTCTGGAGACCATGATTTAGACTTGTAGAATGCTATACAACCGCGATAAAACCTGCAATGTTACTTGGGCTAGGACCCACAAGCAGAATTTTCCCAGGATTCAAATTGTTTTTCTGCGTTCAAATCTTGATCATTTGTTTATATTTTAACTATTTTGATAATTCGCTAAAAAATCTTTACATGATTCCTTTGTAATGTTCTCAAGAATTTGGTTAGAATCATTTCTTTTTACAGAGCTCTTTTCAATTACCCTTAAACAAACATGAGATATATTCTGTTCTTTTTTTATAAACTTTCTGCAGAACACTTCAACAAATTCCTGAATTTCTTCTTTAAAATTTTCTTAAAATTTTAAATGTTTTTCCCAAGAATTCGCTGAAACTTGCTTTCATAATGTTATATACAACAAACTTGTATTCTCCTTAAAATTCCCATGCCATTCACCTCGGAGATTTCTTCAAATTCTGATCAGAATTATCATGGAATTTTCCTCTAAATTCTACTAAAAATTCACTTGGCATTCTGCTGAGAATTCTGTAGAAGGTTATGTTCTCGGAATTCCTTTAAAACTACTTTTAAAATTATTATAGAAATTTCCTTAAATTCTCTGTCTGTATAATTTTTTGGAATTATCCTCCTTGGATTTTGCTAAAGTATTATTTAGAAACTCCTCAGATTTCAAAAGCCTCAGATTTCAAAAGCCTCAAAATTATTCTTGGAACCCTCATCTGGACTTTCTTAACATTCTTCTCAGAAATTATTTCGAATATTCCTAGGAATAGAATCTGGAATCACAATCACCCTGAATTTCATTTCACTTTAGTCAAAACTTCCTTGAACTTGAAATACCTTGGTGTTATCCCTAGATTTTCTAATTGATCCTAATTATTCAAAGTGCCAATCCTGGACTTAAGAATGTGAATTTTTAGATGCTTAATCTTTAAAAAAATGTGCAGTAGGTTAAAAAATCCAGTTTGATCTCGAAAAATAATGGAATCTACTTCTAATAATAATAATAATATATTTTTATCAGCGTATATTCTCAAGCGACATTGGTTATCTTGAATCTCGGTAGCAATTTTTATTCTAATTTCCTAAGAAGTTGTGTGCTGTATTTCCCTTGGCAACATTGATAACTCTGGAACGAAGCATTTTCGATGTGTTTGGCGAAGTTTCTCCTTTTAATAAGAACCATCTATTGTCACCAACATGTGCACTCAATTCTGTTTTACGAAAATTTTGTGAATCGTGTGATTTCATATTGCAACTAAATTCAGTGCAACTTGTTTAAAAAAAATCAGACAGAATTCAAAGAAAAATTGAGGTATTGAAATTTCTGTAAACATCGTATATAAGGATAAACTCGAAAATTTTAAAAATTAAGTAAAAACAGAATTGAGTGTAGTTCAAAACGTAGCTACATATAGAAGATCTACTCTGACATCCGGGAGGTTTAACATTTTTTCTGTTTCGATAATTATTGTATATCGTGTACATCAGACGCTATTTCAAATCTACCCAAATTTGGGTAGAATCCACTCAAATTTGGGTGAATCCCCCCAGATCGGTCAAAACTCAACCTACACAAAATAAGTTTAACGAATTTGGAAGTGACAAGTTGACAAATGGACAACGTCAGCCTGAATCCGATCGATGTTATTTATTTGTCCACTTGTTACTCCCAACTTATTCTACCCTTTATTGGGAAGGTTCATTTTTGACCAATCTAGGTGGATTCGAACTAAATTTGGATAGTTTTAAAACAGCGTGCCATCTCAGGGAAAAAAAAAGTTGGAGGGTGGTGTACATGACACAACCGCATTGTTGACGTAGGACTACGAAATTTTTGTTCGATTTTCTAGTTTGTTGCTTCGGATATTGTTTTGGAATTAAGAGAATTTCATAACTCAACTCTTTTGTAGAAAGTTGTGGTGGCCCTGAAAAGGGCCGATTGTTTTTGGGTGGTTTTGTATAACCAGTTGATGGTTGATGAAGTGCCTTCCGAGATTGATGTTGTCCTCGGAGTGTTAGGCCTTGGGCAATATGGAGGCCCTGCAATACGGTCGAGAACATGACACGATGTTGGATTAATGATTCACCTTAGGCATGGTGGATGGCATCAATGATACAGCAGTAAATAATCAAGATGCTCTTTAATTATGATGTCTGTGTTTGGGAAACAATCAAAAAATGAAATTTTGATTGCCTTTCTTTTTGAACACGCCAGTAAAGTACACAGACTCCTTCCATCATGAGTAGTTTGCTATCAATTAGCGACACTGGCTCCTCTCCTTTTGTACTCACTGTAATCTGTATTTATTTACGGTTCGGACGTTTTCGAAGATGTCGCGTAGCAGGAAAATGCATACGATGAGAATTTCTCAGTTGATGAAAGTGAAACGGAAAAAAATTTAATCCACCGATAAGATATGAATATAATTTATTTCCCGAACAAATTATTTGATTTTTAAATCATTTTGATGTATTTAGTGACAATTGGGTTATTAAATTCTGAAAAATTTATCGGTTTTCATGTATCATCTGAAAAAGCTCCGTTTTCTGAGCACAGCGATATTTGTTCGAACCCCTACACTTTCATCTCGATTTTTAGATCAAGATTTAAAGCAAAATAATAACTTCACTGTTTGAAACTGACAGCTCGCTCCCATACAAAGTGACACCGAGGGGCGCTAATAAGGTGATTTTT